TTTTTTTTGAGTTCACCGATATTGACATTAAGTGTTAAAAATATAAAAGACCTTACAATGGAATCTTTGTGATGATAGGAGTATTCGATATCGATACGATAAAGGTATTTACTACAACGGACACCTTTACTGCTTCTTGATGAACATGTGAGTCTGCATTTGGGGCTATATGCAGGCGGTAAAGTATCTTTTCAAGTACATATGCCGAGATCGGGCATCTTACTTGCTTCATAGGAATGAGGGCAACATATAGATGAGATCAAAGCTCATCTTGACGCGAAATATGTATGTTCTCCGAAGGCGCCACATCACATAACCGCATTTGATTGCCGCATCAAATCTGACACGGTGTACTGTTCGACATCTCTCCATAACATTCGGTATCTTGGTAGCCGACAAGACAGAGCAGCTCTGATGAGAGAGGAAAATAGGGGATCACAGCATGATTCAATTAAATGTTGGATACGACCATATGGCAAAAGTAAATTCATCCTTCCAGGAATGGTGGACCCGCGGTGTCTCTATTATTACTAATTGCCTGAGCACTTTACCCTTTTCAAGGAAAAACAAAGAAAAGAAATATCTGGCAGAGGAATCCGCAGATCGGACGAATGTATATTGCCTCACCAAGAGAAATTGAGCGCTGTCTGTACCTTCTTTTGCTTCAAAGAAAAATCATGCGAATCTTAGAAAACCCACGCAAGATGGACGACTACCCATAGACATTCCTAAAAGCAGAATAACCCCTTGGCCTACTTCATGATGATACGCATCGCGATGGTTGTTTGAAGAAGAGGTCTAATTTCAAACACCAGCGAATGCCGCTTTGTTTAGCTATATGTTGGTGTTCTATGAATCTCCGATCCGCAACAACTTATGTGCGTTTCAAAGCAGACGTTGCAGAAGATTTCTACATAGCGGGCAGCATCTGTGCCACCTCATACCTTTCACATGAAAACCACATAATAATAAGAAAAGTCGGAGTTTAATAAAAAAAAAAAAGACTGAGCGGTTTTCCCTCAGTCCCCGCTTAGTCAGACCTGCTTCATCGAATTACTTTTCTTGGGTATCAAAGGTTATAGGAAAGAAAAACTACAAAACGCATGCACATGGCAAAGAACGTGCTTTGCCATGCCTGTCTTACATCTTGTGGAGACGACATCTAGCAAATAAATACAATTCTGGTCGTTTCCATTTGCAAAAAAAATCAAGCAGCCTAATGGTTAAAATGATAAGCTTATAATTGTGCTTCCAGAAGCACCACCATGTGGGACAATAGAACCCAAGAACTTTTCTGTTTAGAAAAGTGCATGAATGATCTCTCAAAAAATATTTTCTTAGTTATTCTCATTAAATAAAATTTTTAAATAATAGAGAGTGAACGATTGTATTTGTCGTTCTGTTACGATTTCAAATTTGATAGAATTTTGTGAGCAAAGCGCCCAGATACCTTTTAGTTGGGCTGGCCGTGATTTGAGAGGAGTCAGCTTCACCGTAAGTTTACGTGGAGAATTTTGATGAATTCGATCTTCTTCCGGCACCATCTTGGAACAAACGGAATTGCCAAACTCGGTAACGCTTGGTAATCTTAAGGAAGATATGGTAGCGATTTGTGTATAACACGAGAGTTGTGCCCTACCGCGTTCGTCCCAACTTTGATGTTGTTGCTATTTCTCCTCCACTCCGTACGCAAAAATCTTCTAATTTCTTTTTGCTACTCTGAAAAGGCACCAAGAGTTTAGAATATCCAGAAACAAAAACTATGTAAAACTTTAATTACAACAATTTTTTTTACCACAAGCAAAAAGTTATTTTGATTGCTTAAATCGATTATCTCACACTGGGTGGCTGAGAAATTTTCGCGATGCTTGACTGCTTCTCCGCCAGTTTTTTCGCTTTGAACTTCAAAACGAATCTTTCGTACACCCTATTAGGTAAGTTCTCGGTTGGGTATCTAAAAGAATATGGTTTTTATGAATGCAGTTTGCATTATTCAAAGTTGCAGAACCTGTAGTGAAAAGCACTCTTCCGCAGCTTTCTTCGTTGTGATGATGCCACTTCTTGATAAGAATCCGACGTACCCGGGGAAGCGTTGGTGATGTTGGACAACGGTAAGACAGGAGAACCAAGCCTGCAGAAAGAAACCGAAATCTTACGCTGAAAGGACGAACTCATCAAATTTTGAAAAACCAGATGAAGATTTCTATCTTTCAACACCAGCGCTTCTCATAGCTGCGAAGCACAGCTTTTTAGTCATGAAATGTAATGAAGAGAAATTGATAGCGAAAAATTATACCAAATATCAGCTTTTAAACCTACTTCATTATCTTCGAACTTGGAGATTTTGTTGGTGTCATAAGACGCTTCAAAGGGCTTGCAAAAGGCTCCTTCCTTTTACGAGATGGTGTTACGGCATTCAGTAGAGGAGCTATAGTATCAGCGTCTCGACCAATTTTCATCCTAAATGCAGAGTCCAAGCTGAACTTAAAAGGTTCAGAAACTACAAA